CTCCGTGATTTCTAGATGTTTTATGGATAATGTCTTGAACGATCTTTGGCAGTCTTCCGGTCTATCAGCCGGTACTTCCGGTATACCATAGAACACAGGGTTGTCCTTCATTGATTTCATTTCAAGATCAAGTAACTTTTTCTCAGTGTTTGCTTTGTTGTCGGACATTGTTTTGAGTTTTTCTTCAAAGGATGAACAAGACTGTTTAAGTGTTTTAATCTGCTTTTTTGCTTCGATCAAAGCATTATTATTTTCTTCGAACTTATCCCCGATATACGAGGTTGCGATTTCTGTTTCTGTCACGCGCTTGTCAATATCTTTCACTTTGATTTCAAGGTCGGAAAGTTTTAGACTAATTGAATTAACTGTTTTTTCTATTTTGTCTATTTTCTCCAAGGGTTTAATTTTCGATTTGATGTCTCTTAGGTCTTCCATAATTTCTATCCACGGCGGCTGTTGAAGTCGAACACCGAATGGAGAATTCGGAGGCGGGCTGTGCCCGTAACCTGGAACGGGTATCCCATATGGCCCCCGTGAAAAAGCCATTCAATATAAACCAAAATAATGGGATGTGTCAGCTTTTGGTTTTTTTTTACAATTGTTCACTATCAAAATATTGACCACTCGTAACGGATGAGTAACTCAAACACAGTGTGTTGACCGCTTTGCCTATCTTCTCATGTACAATGTCCGATATTGGTGAGATTATCTTGCGTTTTACTTTACGTGATTTAACCACTTTTTCATTAGAATTTCCGAAATTTATTCCGTTTGACATTAATAAGACTACATATGTATCTTTTAGTCCATGAAAAATCCAATTTATATTTGGTAAAATAACCTAAATCCAAATAAACAAGTGTCCACGTTACACGTGTCTTATCCATTAAACTGATCACGTGACAAACCATGCTATCTTAATCCATGGTGATATGCTATTTTTATGACGATGATAGGCTATTTTAGTAGTCCATAATCGAAAACTAAGCCCGGTTTAAGGGTCTAGGAAAACAATCAAGCTGACCAAACCCACGGTGATAGTTCATTTAATTAATTTTTTATGGAAAACCAAAAACCTTTCTAGCCTCAGGGAATGCAGTCAAGCTGACCTTAACCACGGTAACAGACCTTTTAGTTGTTCTTAAAGTTAGTAGTTCTTAATGAAAAACCAAGAACATTTCTAGCCTCAGGGAATATGTTTAAGCTGACCAAACCCACAGTGGTATGTCTTTATAGTAGCTCTTAGGAAAAAACCAAGAGCTTTCTAGCCTCAGGGAATACATACAAGCTTACCACTCCAACGGTATTTTTAATAGTTCTAAACCTAACAATAAGCCCTGTTCTACCCTCAAGGAATACAGTCAAGATGACCAAACCGACGGTGATTTGCCATTTTAATAGTATTTAACCGAAAAGTAAGCCCGGTAGTAGCGTCTGGGAATACAGTCAAGCTGAATAAACCCACGGTGATAGGCCTTTTTAGTTGTTTTTAGCGGAAAACAAAGCCAGGTTCTTACATCTGGGAATACAGTCAAGATGACTTCACCCAGGGTGAAAAGCTGTTTAAGAAGTTCTTAAAGAAAATCAAGCCGATGTTATAAACTCAAAGAATACAATAAAGCTCAGCAAACCCACAGTTGTATGCTCTTTAAGTAGTTTTTATGGGAAAACCAAGAACCTTTCTAGCCTCAGGGAATACAGTCAAGCTGAACAATTCCAAGGTGATAGGCCTTTTTAAAAGTTCTTAACAAAACAATTAGCCCGGTTCTAGCCTCAGGGAATACAGTCGAGATGACCAAACCGACGATGATATGCCATTTAGTTATACTTAAACGACAACTTAGCCCGGTTCTAGCGTCTGGGAATACAATCAAGCTGGCCAAACCCACGGTGATAGACCATTTTAGAAGTTCCAAACGGAAAACCAAGAACCTATCTAGCCTAAGAGAATACAGTCAATATTAATTAACCTTTAGCCTTGCGATCAGTGCAGACCACGATCAACTTGCATATCTGTGTCGTTTTATATTTGGTCTGCACTGTTCGCTATTGAGTCAGTACTTATTCAGAAAATTTCCCCAAAATGATGAATGGTTTTGTCCACATAAAAAGATAGATACGTCCAATAAGGATATTTAGCGGGTAAATGGTTAATTCATTTCAACAAGTACACGTGTTTGAAAACCTTTTTATACACATGTCTAAGCAATATTAAAATGGAAGTGAAAAAAAAGTGTAAGAAAAGGTATATCCCTATTGAACAATTGAAGCATTATATAACATGAACAAAAATAATGTAAGCAGAATGAGTTGACATATTGATAGATTATTTTTTATAGTAAACAATATATTAATTTAATCTCTTTTTAAAATAAAAGGACGTATTAAAGGCAACCAACATATCAAAAAGAACAGAGGAGACAAAGAACATGTAGGCACTTGATATTCGTATTTATGCTGTGAGTACTGCAAGTTACGCTGGAAACAATCTTCCAATAAAGTGTTTAACATACACTTTGAACCGTTCCTGGATTTGATTGTTTCTACCAGTACACCGACTGGCCTAAGCCAAACAAAATAGAGAATTTAATACAACATGATAACAAAATGGCCGACAAGACGGGTTACCTATAATTAGAACTGATATACTATCTTCTTATTAAGTGTGTAGGTTTTTACAGGGTTTACAATATACTGAATATTTCTTTTTAAAGGAAAAAAAATTAGCCCTGTTCTCCTGGAAGGAGTCTATTTCACATATTTTTCGAATACCCGACTGAAGGACGATTCCTAGAATTTTTTGAAATTATACTAAATTAACGTTCTTAAAAGATAAGCATTTGTAAAAGTGTTTTTTTCCCGAAAATGATTGGCCAATTGCTACAAAATTATTCAACAGAAAATCATACGGCGCTAGCCCGGGGTCAAAACAACTGATGATCAGTCAATTGTGATAAACATGAGGGCATATGCAATGGTAGGATACTACGTCATCGCGCACCTGCTAAATGCTCCCACTTGGACCATTTTTTCGTCGACTCGAAGGTAAAATACAATTTTATTATAAGAAAACGTAAGAGTATTAAAAAATCATGTAGCGCACCAAAGAATGGCTATAGTACTTGAGATAATTGTAAAAAAAGTTTATAGATTTATTGCCTGGTTTAGGCCTGAAAACGGGATAAGTGTTTTTCTCTGAATGCTCCCACTCGGACTTCTCCCGAAACATATATGAAATAAGGTTGAAAACCTTCTTTAAATTTATTTTTAACGTACCGGAACATAAACCGAGTCATGTATACCCATTATTCTTTATTAGTTTCAAATATTTCTATTCAAAAGTCAGTCTTATAAAGGTTTTTTTATGAAAATGGAAAATGCTCCCACTCGGACTCGATTTCAGAGATGCTCCCACTCGGACCCAAATTTAAACATTTTGAAAGCTCATTGCTGTGTTAGCTTTTATGGATTATTCTCACAATTTTTACACCATTTTGCCAATAACTACTGTGTTTGGCAACATTAACTTTTCATTCTTTTTACAGAGATCACTTCTTTGATTCTGTAGAATGACCTCGTTGGGCAGGAACAAGGTGCCATGGCAAAGTTTCAACTGACAGGATCACTATACAAAAAGGTGCACTTGGCTTGTGTTGCATCCGAAGGGATAATTCAAAATTATTGCCAACAACAAGCTAGGACTATAAGACTTTAAATGGGCAGTTTGGATCTCAAGAATAAAGTTTTGTTTAGATGTTCAAAAAGTGTGGTGTTTTACAAAGAAGTCATTATACATTCTTTAGTACCATACCGGATTAAGATTCTGTTGGACTCGTACACATATTAGAGGCCAGCATTTATTCAATAATTGCTGACTTTATTATCTTGTTAATAATTTAAAACCCAATGTTTTGCGTGTTTGTTAAACTTGTGATTTATGTTTTAAAACAGCATTATGGTACGTTTATGAACATAAAGAAGTCAATATCTATCGGTTGATTTGAATAGTTTATTAAAGAACAACATGTAAATCATGTTTGTCATGAACTGGTTAAAAAGTCAATGTACTGCCATAATACGGCGTCACAATTATTAACAACTTTGACAATTTTAAGTATGAAAGTTATCATGTGTACGTATTTTTACCCAAATAAGAAAAAAATAAAATAAGAAAACAAAGATCATAGTTATTTCTTTATCACAGTCTTTACCATATTTTGGTAATTAAAGATCATGTAAGTTATATTTCAGGCTGTTACCAATTGAAATTGTCTATAAATTAAATGTATTAATATTTATGGTACTAAAACAATTTTCAAACATAAAGGAATATGTAAAATACGTACTGCAAATGCTTGTCCACATTATATGTAATCGTTAAAATATACATGTATGCATAATGCATTCATTTCTTTTTGAAAGATTCAACTTACACTTAATAGAAAATATATTTCTAATTACCTCCCTTTATGAAATGTAAATTCGGTATTATCTTTACAAATAATGCTTTTCGGAACATACAATATTGATAAATCTTCATTTGAGCATTATATTTATGAATAAAATCATAGAAAAATGATTTCAGGATATTTGAATGACGTTAAAATAATAACAATAATACAAGAAGGAATCACAGACAGCAAAATCCCCCGCCATAAGGAGGAAGTACATTTCAAAGGGGAAGTAACCCTTACATACGTGTAAAAATTCCAAGTAATGATACTCGTGAAAATTAATGAAAAGTTATAGCCTAGACATAATAAATCATGACAAAAATAACACTCCCATGAAAAAACACAACAAAGAAAAACAACAAAAAGCATTAAGTGAACACTTCTGGTCCTTATGCTCTGCTATTCACTTCTATTAAACATGTTCAATATAAAGTTTTAAGTTTATATCTCAAATACCTTTAGAGGTATGGTCCTTGCAAACTAATGATAGTGAATACAAAGAACAATTACTCCAAAACTGGAGAGTTGTCATTCTTGTTTGCGGAATTTATTTCTTTATTGAAATCTATCCTCCAGTGAAATTTCAGATGAATTGATCATTTATGACACATTGTCCAAAAATTAACGCAAAAAACTGAACAAAAGACAATTACTTCAAAGAACTATTATTCTTGTGTTTTCTAGAGTATTCCTCCTCAATGAGATATATCCACAGTTGGTATCTAAAATATTTGCTCAAGCTTTGCCGTGCCAAGATGTCCTGCCATGTGCTTCCTTACGTCGCAATGTGGTTAATACCTTTTCCCATACTGGTCACAAATACAAATACTTTCTGCAAAACAAAACGTTATTATATTTTTAAAATGTATAAACAATTTGTTTCTTATTTAAGCGACTCTTTTAAACGAGGAATTGTTTCAACACAACTTTTTTCCCTTATACTAATCCTCTAAGAAGACATATTTACGAGACTGTTTAGTAATTTAAATATTAGTATCATATTTTAAAAATGCTGTTTCATTGAATTCTTACTAATTATATGAATATATGAACGTGAATATAAAGATATTTTGAAAAAAATAATAATGTCTTAAGACAGCAATGTGCTTTCAAAATTTGTATATATTTAGGTCCGAGTGGGAGCATCTCTGAAGTTGAGTCCGAGTGGGAGCATTTTCCATTTTCATAAAAAACCTTTAAAAGACTGACTTTTGAATAGAAATATTCGAAACTAATAAAGAATAATGGCATACATGACTCGGTTTATGTTCCGGTACGTTAAAAATAAATTTAAAGAAGGTTTTCAACCTTATTTCATATATGTTTCGGGAGAAGTCCGAGTGGGAGCATTCAGAGAAAAACACTTATCCCGTTTTCAGGCCTAAACCAGGCAATAAATCTATAAACTTTTTTTACAATCATCTCAAGTACTATAGCCATTCTTTGGTGCGCTACATGATTTTTTAATACTCTTACGTTTTCTTATAATAAAATTGTATTTTACCTTCGAGTCGACGAAAAAATGGTCCAAGTGGGAGCATTTAGCAGGTGCGCGATGACGTAGTATCCTACCATTGATATGATTGCTATGAAATGCCACGTTTTCATGTTTTACTAATTATAAAAAAAGCAAGTCATTCATATTTATGGAAATTATATACATGCACACCAAACGTTGCATGCTAAAATACATGTACATAATGATATATAATGCTCTTCATAAACGAGAGTTGTTCGTTAAAACAGCGCGCTCGACTATTCTTAGTGCTTGAAAAGTGGAATATGTCTGTAAAAGGGTAACTCAGAGTTATGGAACCTGTGTCCATCTTTTAAGATGGTAACAGAGAACAAGTGTGCATTTCCTTCAGTAGTTTTAAGATACTAACTTGCACCAAAGTGTGACGGCAACGCCGACATCGATGCCGACGCTGTTGTGTGTACAATAGCTCTATTGTTCGAATAGCCGACCTTAATGACATATTTCACATAAATCTTGCAAAATGTGTTTCGATGAAACACACGTAGCAAAATATGTTTCAATTAAATACATTTAATAGTAAAACATTTAAAAAATATCAAGGTCAAACGCTGCAAATGTTATGTATTACACGAATAATGCACAATTAAAAAACAGCGATGGGCCTTTTATTACCATTCACTTTAAGTGTATTCCCTTAGGCTATAAAGTTTCTCGGTTTTTCGTTTAGAACTACTAAAAATGCTACCACCGTGGGTTTGGTCAGCTTGACTTCCCTCAGGCTATAACCGACCTTGGTATTCCGTAAAAAAAACCTACTAAAAGCCCTATCCCAGTGTGTTTGGTCAGCTTGACTTTATTCCCTGAGGCTAGAACCGGGCTTGATTTTCCCTTGAGAAGCAATAAAAGGGCCTATCACTGTGGGTTTGGTCAGCTTGACTGTATTCCCTGAGGCTAGAGCCGAGCATGAATTTCCGTTAAGAACTACTAAAATGCCTCACCGTGGGTTTTGTTAGCTTCTCTGTATTCCCTGAGGCTAAAATAGGGCTTGGATTTCCCCTTAAAAACTACTTATAAGTCCTCTCACCGTGGGTTTTGCCAGCTTGACTGTTTTCCCTGAAGCTAGAAAGGATCTAAGTTTTCCTTTCAAAGGCCTACCTCTGTGGTTTTATCAGCTTAAATGCATTCTCTGAGGCTAGAACCGGGCTTGGTTTTCCCGGCTAGAATCGGGCTTGGTTTTCCCCTAAGAACCATTAAAAAAGGCCTATCACAAGGGGTTTTTGTCAGCTTGACTGAATTCTCTGAGGCTAGAAAAGTTCTTGGTTTTCCATTTATAAATACTAAAAAATCTTTCACCGTGGGTTTGGTCAGCTTGACTGTATTCCCCAAGGCTAGAACCGGGCTTGGTTTTCCGTTAAGCACTTCTAAAAGGCCTCTCACCGTAGGTTGGTCAGATTGATTGTATTCCTTGAGGGTAGGACCGGGCTTGATTGTCCCTTACGAACACATTAAAAGGCTGGTCGCCGTAGGTTTGGTCAGCTTGTCTGTATTCCCTGAGGCTAAAACCGGGCATGGTTTTCCCTTACGAACTACTAAAAAGGCCTATCACCCCAGGCTTGCTCAGCTTGACTGTATTCCCCGATGCTACAACCGGGCTAGGTTTTCCGTTTAGAACTACTAAAAAGGTCTATCACTGTGAGTTTGGTCAGCTTGTCTGTATTCCCTGAGGCTAGAACCGGGCTTGGTTTTCCCTTAAGAACTACTGGAAAGGTCTATCACCGCGGACTTGCTCAGCTTGACTGTATATCCTTAGGATACAACCGGGTTAAGTTTTCTGTAAGAACTATTAAAAAGGCCTATCAGCGTGGGTTTGTCTAGTTTGACTGTATTCCCTAAAGCTAGAAAGGGTCTTGGTTTTCCGTTTAGAACTACATAAAATGCCTATCTCCGTGGTTTTCCTTGGTATTCCGTAAAAAAAACCTACTTAAATGTATTCTTTGAGGCTATAACCGGGCTTGGTTTTCCGTAAGGAACTAATAAAAAGGTCTATAATCGCGGGCTTGCTCAGCTTGACTGTATATTCTAAGGATACATACAGGCTTGGTTTTCTTGGTCAGCATGACTGTATTCCCCAAGGCTAGATCCGGGCTAGGTTTTCCGTTAAGCACTACTAAAAAGGCCTATCACCGTGGATTTGGTCAGCTTGATTATATTCCCTGAGGGTAGGACCGGGCTTGATTTTCCCTTACGAACCACTTAAAAGGCTGATCTTCGTGGGTTTGGTCAGCTTGTCTGTATTCCCTGAGGCTAGAACCGGACTTGATTTTCCCTTGAGAAGCAATAAAAAGGCCTATCACTGTGGGTTTGGTCAGCTTGACTGTATTCCCTGAGGCTAGAACCGGGCTTGGTTATCCCTTAAGTACTACTAAAAAGGTCTAATACCACGGGCTTGCTCAGCTTGACTGTATATCCTTAGGATACAACGTGGCTTGGTTTTCTGTAAGAATTATTAAATAGGCCTTTCAGCGTGGGTTTGCTCACTCTGACTGTATTCCCTGAGGCTAGAAAGGTTCTTAGATTTCCTAAAATAACTACTTAAATGGCCTATCACCGTGGGTTTGGTCAGCTTGACTGTAGTCCCTGAGGCTATAACTTGACTTGGTTTTCCAAGTTTATCAAAATTTCCTGTAACCGTGGATATAGTCAGCAGATGATGTGTCCAAGAGACATAATTATAATGTATTTAATTTTAATCTTCTTCACTGCTCTGGGATAAGCTGCTGCAAACTTTGGTATTTTCTTCAATGATATAATTTATATTGACTCCGTTAGTTTGCTAGACATGATAAAAGATCCATACTACATGTACTAAATATGATGCAGTCATAACACAAATTAAAGCGAATATTAATCAGATTTTTAGACTTCCTTTTCATTTTTATTGTGCAATTTAATCTCAAGAATTACTGCGATTTAGCTAACAAGTCATTCAGTTGACGTTACATGCATATCCTTCAAATTTATATTCACAATTCACTGTTAATCTTTAAGGATTTTTAATCTTACTTAGAATATTATATATAAAGTGCACCGTCATGACTTTGGAATTTTAGCGATAATCAATCAGATTTCAGACTTCCTTTTCATTTTTAGAATTACTGCGATTTAAACCAACAAGTCATTCAGTTGGTGTTACACACATAGCCTTGAATTCATCTTCACAATTCACTGTTTATATTTAAGGATGTAGCATACTAACTTAGAATACTCAACAAAACGTGTACCTTGGAAAGGCAAAAAGCAACCCGTTACAACAACAACATCAATAACAACAAAAAGTTTCAATGCAGATAAAGCACACAGCATTTAAAGCCACAAAGACTACCAGAAATTTTGGAAGAAATGGAGTCTGACCAGTCTGTTTCTTTTCTCAATAAATCAAAGGTCATGCTAACTTTTATGTCAGGATTGTCTATTTAGTTTTACAAGAATAAGATTCTATTAAATAAATGTTTTCTATGATATCATATATTGGAAAATGTTTGAAATAAACAATCATGTGTGTTGTGTGAATTTTTTCGAGTTTCACTCTTGAAACTGGGAAAAATGTAAAGCAACAAACACGATGTTTCCTATTTTTGTGTGAATAGTTAAGTACACGTTTAGGCGTGATGATTAATGAGGAAATTTATGAATATGTAACTTGACTGTAAATAACTTTTGTAACTGTTTCAAAGTCGAAACAATATAGTGTGCCATCTTTGCTATGATAACATGCTTCTGAAACATGAAGATGTTATCAAAATTACTACGTTTTCAATTGCAATTGCAATTTATACACTCCTTTTATCTGTATTTATGTATTTATTCCATCTCTTAAATAACGCTCTGTAGATAAAATTAATTGTCATAATACAAGATGTAAGGCAAGCTTAATCATTAAAGTTCAATTTAAAACATAAAACTCACTTTTTAAAGATGAAAATAACCATTTCTGACGAGTGTTTTTGTAGTATATACTAAAGTTTTCCGACGAACTCCGTGACAGTTACCAAAAGAACTTCTGAAAAGTTACCATAAGAACTCCATCCCTCGTGTAACAATTCCTCCCCCCGTGCTACTAGACAGTGCAAAATTATTTCCACTTTTTATTTATTCAATCGATTTGAAACAATTCATCGTTCATCTAGCACAACAAAATTCGCAAAACATCACATATTTTCGGAGAAATAGTGTTTACAATAGGTCGTATCGACCTCAATATGACTCGTACTTGCCACAATTACCTGTGCTATAAGGACGATGTGTTTTTCCTGTGACCTGATTAGCCCGTATATATAGAAGCATAAAATCAAGTTCCACACCAAAGTGTGTGTTTATATTGTAATGTTTTTAGTAACTGTAGACTTATAGCTCTACTTACAAATGTGTTTTATTTGATGGAAGACTGTTCCATTTCTGCTTTATTAATTAAATGTTATTTCATGGAAGACTTGAATGTCGAATCTATGACAAAAATATTAGTTTGGCAAGTGCAATGGTCTCAATAGATAAGTAAGTTTGTTTTTTCTCGAATTTCTCCAAACGCATAAACCCAAAATGGAAAGATCTTTCTTCGACCGATGTTACTGCAAAAAAAAAAAAAACATCAGAAAAAAATACAGTGATTAAAGGAGGAATAATGCGGTGTCAACATGTTACTATCGACAAAGTTGCACGGTGCCTAATTGTACACACGTGGAAACATGAAAATTATATCAAATATACAAAAACATGTTATTAAAGTGGTGTAACATGTTCAAACGATTATATTGCATTTCAATCAGTCATATGTACTAACAAGACTAGAAAGTCGTTATATTTCGCAATGAAAGCAATAATTTTCACAGTATTCCCAAACTGTTTTTACTATCTTGAGTTAGTTTGTGAAACATTGTGCATGTAGTAAAGAGTAATAAGCTTCAAATTAAATGACACATTCGATGGTATGAAAAATATCGACGATTTTACCATGTTTGGGGGAAAATTATCATCTGTTTGTTTGTTGTACGCATACTTGACATCCATTTTGTATGACAGAAAGATACGGTGTCTCGGACAGAAGTATGATATTTTGACGTTGCGCGAAAAAGTTGTGGTAAACGCCGTATCATCGTGGTGACATGGCAACAAAATGACAGTCATGCTTTATCTGGAAATCACTTCTTTACAGTAAACTGTAACATCTTAACCTTTGCCATATCATAATATTGAACAAATACGTTATTAATACATAAATACATATGAATACATAAATATGTTATGAACACACATATATGTTATGAATACATACATATGTAAAGAATACATGCATATGTTATGAATTCATATACAAGGTATATATGTTGTGATTTCATAAATACATATGTTATGAATACAGCAATATGTCATGAATACAAAAATATGCTATGAATACATTAATATGTTATAATTACATGTTTAACAAGCATAAAACTTTCATATTTACCTTGCTGTGTTGTTAACTGATATAATTCAGAGTTAACAAATACCTGGAAACTATTAAGTATATGTAAATTGCTTAGAAGTTCTGCACTAGAAATATAACTAACTAACTATTAATAAATATTTTGCTGAATTTCAATTCAAGAAACGTTAATTGAGTATGAACACATATGTTTCCATTTATTTTATTTCTCTGCCAGTAATCGACAATCACTTGCCAAAAAAATGGATAATATGCTGAAAAAGTGTCAAGAATATATCGAGAAAGAAAAAAATGTTTGTTGTGGTAACAATGCTTAATGTTTTGCTTCTGTAATCATTGTGTTGGGTTATGTCAATTTATTGAAATAACAACTTACGAACGCTTGAATGAATTATAATCTAATTTATGTTAATTCGCTCGGCGCAGTTACTACAACGTGACTAGTACCACAGCTGGTTCGGCGAAGCAGCTTTTCCAAATTCTTCCTTTCTTTCATAAAAGCCAAATACACTAAAGTGATTTTTGCAGGACTAGTGTGGGTTACGGATTGTCAAGGGATGTAATTAGAAAAACAATTTTGGATTTATTCATACATTTATTTCATTGATTGGCTGTGATGAAAAGTTGACGCTAATTTGTTCCACACCAGAGTTCTTTTTTTTGAACTAACCGGTACTGTTGCCATATCCGCTAAACATCATCGTGATATCAGTATGGCTTCAACCCACTACCCATGGGTTGAGATAAAGACATCTTTACAAGTAAGCTGACTATACCAGTTATACGACGTAGGCAATTTCCTATTTAGGCTTAATTAAGCGAAAGAAAATCTACAGTTGTTTTCTTTACACTTATCAATTGTAACTACATCCGGTGAGATAGCGGGGACTTTGAATGTTGGATTTTCAAACTCCTGTTATTAAAGGCTCCGCCATATAGAGGCAGTGGGGTGAAAAATCCCCGCTTAAAGTTCCAACTCTTCGATTCCATAGCGATTTTCACCGATGCCGTGTCAGTGCGTGGACAACTATAAAAACTTGGTTTATCTCCCCTGCTATCTCCACTTTTTCCCCGTGGACGGATGGGGCGTGGTTATAATTGACTGGTGCATTATTCTCTTTGGGATATATCTATTTCAGAATATAACAGTTAGTTCAATATCTTTATTGACCACATACATTGTATGAATATTTTATAAAATAAAAGGGATATAAATAGGGATATTTATAAATTAAATATATGTTTGTATAATTGATTTGCAAAACAATAACAAGATCAATTACATATCAAAAGTCATTATGCGAGTGTTCACATACAATAGTGCACATTTATTTACAAAGTAGCAAAAAAAGTAAATTGCACAAGACTTTAGTATTTCTTAACTTAACACACCTAAAGTCTGCCAAGGATGACGTCATACAACAAGTATACGTAAGTGTTTATTAGTAAGCAGTTTTACAAAATTTAATAGATCAAGAACGGTGCAAAAAAATACTGTAGCCTTATTGGTTGCGCCGCTCCTGACCAATTAAATTTTATAAATACGTACTTATAAACTCTAACCTATAGTGAATATCTTCTGAAGAATGCAAATTCACGGTTAGGACCTGGGAGAATGAAGTTCTTCTATGATAACCTGTTAGGAGTTTTCCTGGTAAATGTCTCGAAGTTCCTGGAAAACGTTACAATACGGATTTCGTCAGAAAACTTAACGTTTTCCAAGAACACAGAAGAACTCCTGACAAGTTATTAGAAAAACTCCATCCTCCGTATAACAGTTCCTCCCGTGAAATTAAATTTCAGTAATAAAATCATCATGTAATTTGAGAAAAATGTTACTAATACAAATGTTATTTTAAATACAGTGATGCCCGTTTATACTAAGAGTAACTGATCCAATATCAAACAATGCATTCCAGTGTAATTTCTGTGAACAAACCTTATCACTTAACATTTTTATCATAAAATCTAAACATAGAATCCAATATGGTAAATAATAAGGTGACATCATGGTATGCTTAAACCTAGAACATGTAAAACCGATATTTGTTAGCCTTTAGCCTTTGGCGGCAATGCGATCAGTGCAGACCACGATCAACCCACATATTCGTGCTGTCTTATCGTGGTCACTATTGATCAGTACCTATTCAGAAAATTTCCCCAAAATGATGAATGGTTTTGTCCAGATAAAAAGATGGACACATCAATTTAGGATATTTAGCGGGTAAAGGGTTAATGCATTTAAACAAGTACACGTATTTTAATTTCTTTTCATACACGTGTCTAAGCAATATTAAAATGGAAGTGAGAAAAAAAGTTGTATGAAAAGGTATATTCCTAATAAACAATTGAAGCATTATATAACATATAAAAAAAGTAAGCAGAATGAGTTGACATATAGATTCTTGTTTACAATAAACTATATATTAATTAAATTTCTTTTAAAATATAAGAACGTCTTAAATGTAACCAACATATTCGTATCAAAAAGAGCGGAGCGGACAAAGAACCTGCGGACACTTGATATTCGTATTTTTTACTGTGAGTACTGAAAACAATCTTCCGGATTAAACAGCGGCCAATAAGCTGACTAAAAGGCACTTTGAATCGTTCCTGGATTTGACCGTTTCTACCTGTACACTGGCTGGCCTGAGCCAATCAAAATAGAGAATTCAAAACAACACGATAACAAAATGACCGACAAAGGACAGGTTACCTATAAAAAGATAAAAAAAATGGTGAAAGATTTTCACCTTGACGTACACCGGTAAAACTAACGAAACTAGTCAACTCACAGTTTACTTTAACACAAGATTTAGCCTTACTGTACATATTGTGGATTATACCAAGACACTTACCATCAATATTATGTGACAAAAGTTTGTGCCATAAATGAAGTCGATTAACAGAATCAAATGCCTTCCTATAGTCAACAAATGCACAGTACAGATTTTTATTACAACTTAAATAATAATCAATTAACATCTTTAAGGAAAACATATGATCAGTGGTACCATATTGTGATCTGAACCCAGCTTGTTCTTCGTTAAGTAAATTGTGGCATTCCAAATACTCATTCAGTCTCTTATTTAGTATATTGGTAAATAATTTGCCAAAACAACTTAAAATGGTAATCCCTCTGTAATTGTTGGGATCAGATTTGTCACCCTTATTTTTATATATAGGATTAATAAAACCCTGACTCCAAATAGCAGGAAAAATACCTGAATCCAAAATAACATTAAACAATAAACGAATAACATTTAAAACAGATTCATTATTTACAGTTTTTAGATATTCATTTAATATATTATCAAACACAGAAAGGCTTTTATTATTTTTTTATTTTTTTACAACTTTTTTAATTTTCCTCAATAGTTATTTCTGCATTTAAGAAGCTGTTATTACAACTTATATTCTCAAGATCAAAATCATCTAAATTGTCAATAATTTCGAATACCCGGCTGTTACTCACGGTTAGTTTAAAGCCGTCGATTTATTTACGGTCAATACAAGCGTTGCTTCATCGCATCCATTTACCGCCGTATACAGCGGGTACAGGGGTAAGAGAAACGAAATGGGTCCAGTTTCTCGCGCTGCTGTTTCTGCTTCCGTTGATATACAAAGTAACTGAAGGTGGCGCCGGTGACTACTCAAAGTATTGCAGACCGAAGTACTATCCACACAACGACAGACGGCCCGGCTCGGACCTCACCAAGAATGTGTTTTGCTTGGCGAGACGCAGGCAGATTATAGGTTTAAGTGTTTGTTTTGACTTTGTGGTATTGTTCGTGTGTTGTGGTGCAGATGTTACAATCTCTTTTCGTGTAGTTGATGGTGTTTCTGTAGGCTTTGGTGTTGTAACTCTAGTTGTTGATATCCGTGTCGTTGGTGCTTCTGTTGTTTTAACAGAATCCCTCCCTTTTTTAAAGCAAACCTTAAGAAATATTTAAATCCCCATGGGTCCCTTTATTTTTCATTAAAGGTAAACGCTTCTCTCTGTACATCATACACGTTTTAGAAACAACTGCAGTAACCATAATTCGGCTTTATATGATAATCACATTGATTCCAGTCCATCTTGTATATGTGGAGCACACATTGGAAATTCAAAACACTTTTTTTTATTGCAAATTATACAGTGCACAAAGACGAACATTGTTCTTAAATACAATATCTTTTCATTCTCCGAGTTTACGAAATTTTTTGTTTGGAATAGAAGAGTGATCTGAATCCAAAATGAAAATCTTTTTAAAGAAGTACAGACTTTTATTAAATCAAACAAGAGATTTAATTGAATAAAATCAAGGCATTTTACTGCTGAAACTGTAAATTTTGTTTAAACAGGGTTCTGTGTGGTAAATATCTTCGTATTTATTTATTTGTAGTTTTTGTAACTATTACAATAATTTTATTATTTCATTCATTATTTATTCCTTTTTCTAAAAATTTGATACTTAAGGTATGATCCACCAAATGCATTTCCTCTACTTTGAAGAGTATTCAAATAGGCTAGAACTACTGTCAACTGCATTGTAACTGAGGGGCGCGGGTTCAAGCCCCAGAAGAGGCAACGTTTTATTCTTTCTTTTTTTTCTTTGAACATTATTTGTGTCTCTCAGATCACTCTTGAGAAGAAAAAAGTGCTTCATTTTTATTATGAAATTATTATTGGTATTTATTGGCTAAATTGTGCCAAATTTATTATCAAATATGGTACCTGATATTTTCAAAGTCTAATAAAATAAAAACTAAACGGTAAAAGTATTTTATATTTGACAAGCACAACCAATATACTTTTAAGAAAATTTTAGCAAACTTTGAAAACAGCCTCTGATTTGAGTAAATTTTAGGAATATTTTGAATTAGGCCCTCCAAGTAGAAAAATGATCAAACAACTACTTAAAATATGTTGGGTAGGGTGGGTGTAGGGTAACATTTATATACATATTGCAAACATTTTGAGTAAAAACAATAAATTTGCTGGGTCATTTGTTAGCTGAATGCTATTATTTGTTTCTTAAAAATGTTCTATAGGAAAACATTTTTTTCATAATGATTATAAAATAGAATATTTAGAGTTTCTCATTCCTGAAAAAGAGCCCTTCTAATAGCCGAGTTTTACTTAAGAAAAATCTCTATAACTCGTAAACCATACGAAAAACTTTGTTTAAATTTTGCATTCTTGTGTCTTTTAACGTATATAACTGACCTATATTGTCAATTGATAGTTCCTTATAGTGTCCATTAGGGGCTCATACCTGAAAACACTAAATCCAAAAGCCATAAATAACTTAAAATGGAACACTATTGACTTTTGAAACTAATAATTTATACATTTAAATAACTTAATTTAATCATTCTTAGAATCATTATTATATTAAAATGCTTATCTATATTTCTATTTTTTTTTTTATTTTTCTCATTCGATTTATTTACATTTACATATTAATTTATAAAACATTTGTTAAAATTACTTCCTGAAAAATTCTTAAAACTGAAATTCGATAGAATTTGATAATAAAATAGTATAAACTTATTTTTGACTAACATCAGGGAAGGGCCCACGATAATGTTGTTAGAACTTTTGGCAAAACCGTTTTGTATGTACGCTTGATTATGTTTGTAAAATTATGAAATTGTATATTGTGTGTATATTGATACAATAAAATATAATCAAACTTAAAGCCGGTTTTGTTGTACTTGATTGCGTAGTTGTTGTTTGTGTTGTTGTTGTAGGTTTGATTGTTGTTGTTGCTTTTGTTGTTTCAGGTTTGGATGTTATTGTTTTCGTTGTGGGTTGTGGCGTCGTTCTTGTTGTTAATTTTACCGTTGATTGTTTTAAAGTTGTTGGTGTGCTCATTTCCGGACTTGGATCTGAAATACAATGCTTATTAATTGAAACAGCCTAAACACAATAAGATACACTTTAACAACACTATCTCACGACTATTCACGAGGACTTACTGACTCCGAACAACAACTGCAATCACTTTTAGGTGGTTGATTTATTTTGGGGTAAGTGCATTTCAAGAGGCAACAACATCACTGACTTACGTTGGCACAGAGGTGACATGTGTGTGTTTTTTTTATCTCGTGCACACGAGATAACATGTCATGGACACGAGATACTATGTCGCGGCCAAGTTGTGACCATGGGTTACTAAGTCATGGCCACGGGTTACTTAGTCGTGGTCACGAAATAACTAAGTGGTGCGCACGAGAGATAAATAAACACAAACACACATGTCACCTTCGTGTCACCGTACCTGTTTGATGAGAAAAGTAGGCTATTTAAATACACACATACTGTGCAAATTAATACCAAGAAACTCCCTTATAAGTATCTGAGTGTGAATTGGTTTGAATTGTCTTAAGAAACATTACCGCATAATAATTAAACAGCTCGTATACATCTAACGTAGCGCTGTATGACAATCGGTTTAACACATTTTAATTAATACAAAACTCAGTTGCCATTTTTGTTTTTCATGGATCAATGTATTATCCTGGTCAGACAGACACCTAATAGAACTTCATGATACACAGAGTTGCGAAAAAAAAAACCCCGATTTTATTCGGCTGCACAACAGCCGAATATTTTATATTTTTGAATAAGACGCATGATTTACTGCGGAATGACACGATTTATTTTGCGGGTCGTCAATAAAAACACAGTACATTCAATACATCAGCTTTTCACTCCATGACAAATTTTAAATTTATGGCTTTGTTGCAAAACATCTTTATTTACATTTTCTTCAAATGGAAATACAATATTTTCTTATCTCCGTATACAAATAATGGAATGTGCTCTGTCTGTGGTTTACGGAAATTTAATATCGTGGAACCAGGCTAAGATTAACTAATGCGTAAACTAGTTGTCTCCATCTAAATGGAACTGTTCTCATTTAAACAAAACGCATCGGTGTAAGAACTGTTGCCTTGCACTGTCATAAAACATCTGAACTAGGGAACAAGTTGATTTTGTAAATAATTATCTTTAATTTTTCTTTTGAGATGATTTGGATTGTGCTGTGTTGACATAGTTCTGGTCTCAAAAACTTAAATAGCGAGGTCACTCGTGTGCTGTTTTATTTTGGTTAGATTTGGTAGCGTGTCTTTTAATACTGATATATACTTGATACCTTAAATGTCTTATATTTTACGGTTATGCTTAAATTTGATGTTTCATCGTTGATCATGTGCTTATGAAACGTTCATTTAGCTTTAATCGGAATATCATTAATAATTAACTTTCGTGGCATTTTGATAAACCATTACGAGCAACCGAATAAGACACATAGAGTCGGATTTCTGGCGTATTACGATTTTGACTGTTCAAAGCGTACCCGTCCTGTCATATTATAAACGAATACTACTAGTACGGACGTAATGGAATGTTCGTCTCCTAACGCTTCCCATTTCACATCGTACAATTAAATGGGAAGACAACCGTACAACGCGACGACAGCCGTACTAGTTTATACATGTCGGTATAAAACCATAATTCAAGGGCGCTTATTATTTATCTATTTTTAACATATCCCAACTGATTTGTTCGAGTAAATCAATGTTATGGATTACTAGTCAACATCTAAAGGAGCATGCTAACAAATTCAGGCCTTATGCAACCTTTACATTACGTGAATTTTGATTGAAAATAAGCATATTTTCCGATGAAATGTGGAATTTTTTTAAATGTCATAAAATCTTACATTTTCTCATGATAATAAATCATTTTAAGATACGATTCGTAAACGTCAACATTGTGTCATTAAATATTCCAAACCATACCTTCAAAAATGCTTTCCTTTTAAAGATACATGGTATTTAAGTTTGAGTAAGTTCATCAACAGTTCGCCTCTATTTAACGATAACATCGATATCCACTCATCAGCAAAAATAAAAAAGGCTGAAAACCGTTCAACGAACCAATTTTTAGTGCATTAAGTTTAATTCTTTCCTAGAAACTATAGGACAAAAGCCCTAAAAATTATTACGTTGAACGGTTTTCAGCGTTATTCATTCTTGCTGATGAGTGGATGTCGATGCTATCATTAAAAAGAGGCAAACGGTTGATGACATTATTCAAATTTTGAAACAACTGCGCAGATCTTAACACACATTCGTGTTTGTAGCATTTTATTCGACTCTTCTAAAAGTATGCAGTGCACAGCTGACCATTCACAGATGACCATTCCTCCGCAACAATTTTACACGTGCGTAAAAAGTACATGTATATGCTTTACTGATACTTTAAGTTGCATTTTTACCGATTTTATACCGCATTTACCACGGCGCTCTCTTTCACGAAGTTTTTTTTCAAAACGTGACGTCATAGTTTTAACTCAGTTGAATGTGCATATTTCTGTTACATTTTTATATAACTAGAAAAAATTCCACATGTTTCCAGTTTTTTAACATCAGTACATATAATGGAGTTGATTTCTGTCAAAATTGAAAAAAAGCCATAAATCATAGGACTACTTAAAAAATATGTAAATTAAATATAAAAACCAACCTGCACACCATGCAAGAGAAACATCATCAAAGGCGAAATCGCTCCTATACCCAGTCCCACGTGTTGCCACCATTAATATCTGAAACAAGCCATTTTTGTGTACATTACTCATTACCAGATATTCACGCCTTTTAACGCCTTTTTTATTTTTTTCATCCCATTTTTGTTGTCTCAAATGGTGAACAAATGCCTAATTTAGGCCTCCAACACTTGTTTTTGTTTGAGAAATGTTGTGTAAAAAGTGACCCCTTTTTCGGCGTCACCCCTATCTAAAAGATATCAGGGGGTTGCCAGAAGGCAGATGTGCTCCCTTCTGTTTCGGGGTTTGAAAGGGACGACAACCCCCTTTCATCGCCAAGAAATATCTAGACTTGTAAGAGGCTAAAAATGACCCCAGCTCAATCATAATGCAACATGTAACCAACGCTGAAAAGCCTTTGATTCAATCTCAATCCAATGAGAAGTTGAAATCGATTTTGATTGAAAACATCAACGCAAAATGGTGATTTTATGGCAATTTTGAGATATCCACTCGTTACCTTGGTAACAGGAAATTTAGGACTGAGCATGTCGTTACAACGGCAATGGTCCAGTCAACAATTGTGCCAAGTTTGATTAGTATTGAAGCAGTTTTTATAATTTTAAAGAAATTTGAACTTGTAACTACTTTTCAATGAAAATAGACATTTTTCACAAAATGCTCATGCAGTAATGGGTTAATTATGTTTTATTTATATAAACATAACCTGTGGGCAGTTTTTATTTATTAATAAGATATAAACATGAACGTAACTTGACACATTCCCCTACTTATGTAGATAAGATGGTTAAACCCCAGTCACACTAGAGCTTACGATTACGTCTGCAACCTAACTCTCTTTGCACAGATAAATCTACTTCGCGATTATCGTACGACATCATAAAGTCATTGACAATCCCACGACAGGTCATCAGCAAACGTACGATGCCTCAAGATTGTCTGGGATTACTTACGACTTCACGTGACCTGTCATGCGATCACCTACAATTTGTCGTAAGACCATCGATCGCACGTTTACTAAAGCCTCTATCACATCAGCCTGACGGCAGCCATACGAACGCATTTTGAAGAAAATCGCTATGTTTCGTGCGACAGCCGCAAGGCAGCCGTACGATTCCTTAACGTCGCAAGGTTGCCGCAACGTCGTAAACTGATTTCTTAACATGCCCATTATTTCTGCGATTTTTTGACAGATTTTTGACGTCTCAAGACAGTCTTGAGACAACCGTACGACAGACTCACGATTTCGAGAAGTTCTCAAGTCACAACGTTTTGCGATTGTCTTGCAACGACCGCAGAGTTGCCTAAAGCATCTATCACATCAGCCGCACGAAATTTGGTTCGTACGATTTCATGAGAAATCTGTGCCGTAGAAACGTCGCAGGCAGTTTCGCAGTATGTCTAGACAGATTCGTAGATCGTAAGGAAGACGTAAGATGTTCGTAAGGCGACCGCATTGTTCGAACGATATTTATGCTTGAAAGTTGTACAAAAACCAACAACATTTCGTACGGTCGTCGCAATCTGACCGTGCAATAGACGTGCGATTGCTAAGACAGTCGTAAGGCAATCGTACGAAATTGAAAACAAATCGCATGGGCACCGCACGCCCAACAAGAATTCGCAAGTCTGCCATACGATGTATGTACCTTCATCGTCCGAATTTGAAAGTGAGGATTGAATACAACACCATCATTAGAGTGCCCCGTATTGTTTCAATCAAACCAGGGAGACAATTCAACCACAAAGGTTGCATTTGAGTTTTCTAAGACGGAGACTTTGTACGCAGCGCAACATGGCCGGAGAACACTCTGCGTAAAACCCTGGCCCGTGTTCAGTAAGAAAAGAACAGGATCAGGATTAAATAATCCGAATTTTATTTTCATTGTATTATGAAACTAAAATTGATCATACATTGCTAGAATAAAAATGTTCATATAAAAATGTAAACAATTGCTGATTTGCAAAGAAACAACCCTATTTCGGGATAAAATCGACAAGTAAAAAAAACAAAGTTAGAAATAATCAGATCAAAATAAGGATCAGTTTTAGGATCCAGATCAATGTTCGGATCAACTGTAAAATGCCCATATCTTGCAAAAATAATTATGAATTTATTTTAAAATTTCATAAATATGCCATTTCAAGTCCAATTTTATCAAGTTATTATTAGGTATTTAATCTACGAGGATAAACAATGGAGAATACTTGTATTTAATTTTTAAAAGTTGATCCTGATCTTGATCCTTAACTCTTTGTGAACACGGGGCCTGGATTGCGCGACGTCGGTTGTTTGGCCAATATCACACCCTCTCCCTGGAACTGGGATAGGAGTCAAAGGGTGAATACATGGGGTACATAAAGATGAGCCGCAACATGTTTGGGATCTTGAAAGGATATGATATTTATTAGATGCGCAACTGACGCAACGGTCGTAGGACTGTTGCACGGCTGTCGTACGAGTTATACAGCTGTATTACGATTGTCAACTGGCATGTGACAGCATTCGATTACGGCCCGTGGTAGCCGCACGATGTACGTAAGGCATCCTTGCGGTCGTCGCAAGACAAACGCAAAACATTGTGACTTGAGAACTTCTTCGTGAGTGTCGTACGGTTGTCTCAAGACTGTCTTGAGACGTCAAAAACTTGTCAAAAAATCGCAGAAATAATGTGTATGTTGAGGATTCAGTCTGCGACTTTGCGGCAACCTTCAACCTTAAGAATTCGTACGACTGTCATGCGCCTTTCGCACGAAACACAGTGATCTTTGTTAAAATGCGTTCGCACGGCTGCCGTCAGGCTGATGTGATAGAGGCTTAACGAGCATCGTGCGGCTACCGCGGGCCGTATTCGAATGCTGTCACATGACAGTTGACAATCGTAAGACAGCCGTGTAACAGTCCTAGACCGTTGCGTCAGTCTTAAAAAATCATATCCTTTCAAAATCCCAAACATGCTGTGGCTCATCCTTATGTACCCTTGACTCTCCTGGATGACGGTGTGATATTGGCCAAACAACCGATGTCGCGCAATTCAGGCCCCGTGATCACAAAGATTTAAGGACCTGGATCAAGATCAGGATCAAATTTAAAAGCTCATATATTCTCCGTTGTTTATCCTCATAGATTAAATATCTTATAATAACTTGATAAAATTGGACTTGAAATAGAATATTTATGAAATTCTAAAATAAATTTATTATTATTTGTGCAAGATATGGGCATTTTACAGTTGATGCGAATATTGATCTTGATCCTATAACTGATCCTTTTTTGATCTGATTATTTCTAACTTTGTTTTGTTATTTATCGATTTTATTCCAAAATAGGGTTGTTTCTTTGCAAATCAGCAAATATGAACCATTTGATTCTAGCAAAGTATGATTAATTCTAGTGTCATAAAACAATGAAAATGAATCAGGATCATTTGACCCTGATCCTTATCCTTTCTTAGTGAACACAGGGCCAGGGTTTTATCAATCAACGCATTGCCCGTCTTCTCAGTACTTAAAACGATTGCGTGGAAAATTGGAAGCTGGGATCGTTTATTATTGGAACACTACAAGTAAAGCTTACCAAAATTCCCTTTAGGGCAATACTCAATTTTATAAATATGGTTATAAACAGGACTCCAGGGATAGAAGCTGGAGAAAAAAGATTCAATCCATTACTGCATGATCTTAAATTTTCTGTATCATTGCAACAATGGGACATCACGAAATTGCCAAAAATCACTATTTTGCGTTGATCGATGTTTTTTCCAGCAGCACCAAAACTGATTTCAAAGTGCTTCAACTTCTCAATGGATTGAGATAGAGTCAAAGGCTTTTCAGCGTTGGTTACACGTTACGTCAATCGACCGAGCTCTTACAAAATTTCCTTGGCTGCCGCCTTCTCTTCAAACCCCCAAAGCAGAAGGGGACACTCTTGCAACCCCTAATGTATCTTTTGATTGTTGGTTTCCACATATGGATAAAATGGTGGAAGAAATATGTAAATTATGCATTGTATGCCAAGCTGCATCATCACGATTTTTTCCAGATCCGATCAAACCAACGTTACTACCATGAGAGGTGTTAAGTCAGTTATGACTTTTGTAGACCATTTCCAGACGGTTACATGTTACTAGTTGTTATATGTGACTACAGTAGATTTCCAGTAGTTGAAAGAATCAAATCGACAGCCGCAGATACAGTCATTCCGCGATTAGAGGCGATATTTTCGATATTCGGATATCCAGAGGTAGTGAAAACGGACAATGGACCTCCGTTTCAAAGTCGGGCATTCAGAGATTTTGCTGATAATTCGGGATTTAAACATAAACGAATTATTCCATTGCACCCACAGGCAAATGGAATAGTTGGGAGATTAATGGCGCCACCGCAAATCAATTAAAACAGCGATAGCATCCAGACAAGATTATAAAAGAGCGTGAAGTAGATATCTTGTGAATTTTCGCAATTCACCACAATCTACACCCCAAAAAGCTCCTAGTGAATTGATTCCTAAAAACGGAAATTAAACACTAAATTACCAAAAAATGAACATTTGACAACAACGACAACAGAATATTCGAGATAGGGACAGGTCTATCAAAATCGAAAACAAAAATATACGCTAATAAAAAAAACGTAGAGCTCAGCCCCAAATAAATTGAAAACTTGTAGATCGTGTGCTTAAAACGGAAACAACGGAATAAATTTGAAACAGCATATGACCCTACCCCTGGAGTTATCATTGCTATCAAAGGTTCTATGCTCACAATCTAGCATAGAGAAAAAAAATTGAACGGGACGTGTCCAAGTTTAGATATGCTCATGGAGAGATCAAGAGCCGGTGCAGACGAAACCTGCAGATAATACATCTTTACCTAGAAATAGGCCTCAAAGGAAACACGTTATGAAGATTAAAAAAAAAGAATATGGTTTAATCTATAATACCATTTCCGTTATAGCAAGTATGCCCTACTCATATTTGCTTTCATAGCAGTGTATCATTTATATCCGCTTGCTGGGTTTGTTAATCTTTGGAAAAATGATAGCGTATGTGAGAACATTATGCTATTTGTGAAATTAATACTTTTGGTTTCATAAAAATGCCTTATATAATTGGTTCCTGCATGGTGTAACTGAAAAACAATTTATTCTTTAACAATACTAGC